GGTGTCTTATCTGTGTCTTTTGAACACTTCCATGGATGGGCACTCCATCACTGCCCAGGGCAGCCTGTTCCAATGTGTGACCACCCTTCCAGTGAAAACATCTCCTAATATCCACCCCAAACCTTCCCTGGTGTAACATCAAAATGTTTCCTTTTTTCCTGAGAACACCTGGCTGCCCTCTCCTGTCAGGGAGTTGTGATGGTTCCCCCTGAGCCTCCTTTTCTCCAGGCTGAGCCCCTTTCTCAGCCCCTTCAGTCTCTTCAGGGGCTCCAGCTCCCTCAGCCCCTTGTGGTGCTCCAGCCCCTTCCCCAGCTCCCTCAGGGATTCTCCAGCCCCTTCCCAGCTCCCTCAGCCCCTCGTGGTGCTCCAGACCTTTCCCAGCTCCCTCAGGGATTCTCCAGCCCCTTCCCAGCTCCCTCAGCCCCTCGTGGTGCTCCAGACCCTTCCCCAGCTCCCTCAGCCCCTCGTGGTGCTCCAGACCTTTCCCAGCTCCCTCAGGGATTCTCCAGCCCCTTCCCAGCTCCCTCAGCCCCTCGTGGTGCTCCAGACCTTTCCCAGCTCCCTCAGGGATTCTCCAGCCCCTTCCCAGCTCCCTCAGCCCCTCGTGGTGCTCCAGCCCCTTCCCGTCTCTGTTCCCTTCCCTGGACACTCTCCAGCCCCTCCATGTCTTTGTTGTGAGGAGCCCAAAACTGAGCCCAGGATTTGTGGTGCCTTGACAGTAGAAGGAAAGAAAAACCTCCCTTATGGGGTTCTTAGCCCTTTTTTGCCACCTGCAGCAGCTGTTTGTGTTCCTCCCTGCAGGAGGCAGTGGACTGGGTCGGGGATTACAACGAGCCCCTGACCGGGTTCTCCTGGAGGGGCGGCTCCGAGCGGGAGACAACCGGCATCCAGATCTGGAGCGAGGTGTTCCTGGTGGACAAGCCCGACGGCACCAAGGTCTGTGTGTGTCTCTGCTGCTCATTTCCCTCCTTTTCCAGCTTTTGAGACTCTCCTGCCTTGTCTTAGGTGGTCGTCCAAACCTTCCTTAGGGAAGGTTTTCAATACCGTGTCTCTGTTTAATAACAGAAGGAAGTGATATAAAAATATTTTTTTAGAGAATGTAATTTTGATAATAATTTTTAACATGGGTATTTTCACAGAGCAGAGGAGTGAAATGGGGTGATTTTGCCTGAGACTCATTTATGGAAGTGATGTAAAAACTTCAGTGTAATAGAACCACTGGGAAGTTGTACACACCTCTGTGAAAAACACATGTTAAAGATGTGTCACAGACATCTTCTATGGAAAATCCTTTCCTTAGGATTTGTCCTCCTGAGAAGCTGAGAGGCCTCAGGAACAAAATGTAAACATTGATTATCTGCTGCTGTGGGATGCAACAGGTGGATCTTTAATTGGCCCATGTTGGATGTTTGTAATTAATGGCCAATCACAGTCAGCTGGCTTGGACTTTCTGTCCGAGCCACAAACCTTTGTTATCATTCCTTCTTTTTCTATTCTTAGCCAGCCTTCTGATGAAATCCTTTCTTCTATTCTTGTAGTATAGTTTTAATATAATTTATATCATAAAATGGTAAATCAAGCCCTCTGAAACATGGAGTCAGATCCTCATCTCTTCCCTCAACCTGAGACCCCTGTGAACACCAGCACCAAGATGGGTTTAACAAAGTGAGGTGATGTGGTGTCCAAGTGTCCCTGATATGTTCTCTAAGTGTCCCTCAATTCTGGGCATCCCAGAGTTTATTTCTGTATTATTCCCAAAAATCTTGAGTCTCATGTCCTACAAACTCCTTCTCTTTCCTAGAGCTGGAGTTGTAAGGTGGAGTTTTTTCATTCAGGGTTGTCACAGCAGATTTGGAGCATCCTGCCAGGAATATTTGTATTTATCAGGAATATTTGTATTTATCTGCACCTCAGCACAGAGCATGGCACCCAAGTGACACTGAGGCATTCAGGGTGTGATTCCTGATGCTGGCTGAGTGTGTTTGGGTTCGGGAGGTGCAGTTTGGGTTCGGGAGGTGCAGTTTGGGTTTGGGTTCGGGAGGTGCAGTTTGTGTTCGGGAGGTGCAGTTTGTGTTTGGGTTCAGGAGGTGCAGTTTGGGTTCAGGAGGTGCAGTTTGTGTTTGGGAGGTGCAGTTTGGGTTTGGGTTCGGGAGGTGCAGTTTGGGTTCGGGAGGTGCAGTTTGGGTTCAGGAGGTGCAGTTTGGGTTCAGGAGGTGCAGTTTGGGTTCGGGAGGTGCAGTTTGGGTTTGGGTTCCGGAGGTGCAGTTTGGGTCCGGGAGGTGCAGTTTGGGTTCAGGAGGTGCAGTTTGGGTCCGGGAGGTGCAGTTTGGGTTCAGGAGGTGCAGTTTGGGTTCGGAAGGTGCAGTTTGGGTTCGGGAGGTGCAGTTTGTGTTTGGGTTCAGAAGGTGCAGTTTGTGTTTGGGTTCAGGAGGAGCAGTTTGTGTTTGGGTTCGGGAGGTGCAGTTTGTGTTTGGGTTCGGGTTCCGGAGGTGCAGGAGGTGCAGTTTGTGTTTGGGTTCGGGAGGTGCAGTTTGGGTTCGGGAGGTGCAGTTTGTGTTTGGGTTTGGGAGGTGCAGTTTGGGTTCGGGTTCCGGAGGTGCAGTTTGTGTTTGGGTTCAGAAGGTGCAGTTTGTGTTTGGGTTCAGGAGGTGCAGTTTGTGTTTGGGTTCGGGAGGTGCAGTTTGGGTTCAGGAGGTGCAGTTTGGGTTTGGGTCCGGGAGGTGCAGTTTGGGTTCGGGAGGTGCGGTTTGGGTTCGGGAGGTGCGGTTTGGGTTTGTGTTCGGGAGGTGCAGTTTGGGTTGGGTTCAGAAGGTGCATTTTGTGTTTGTGTTCAGAAGGTGCAGTTTGGGTTTGGGTTCGGGAGGTGCAGTTTGGGTTTGATTTCTGGTGCAGTTTGTGTTTGGGAGGTGCAGTTTGTGTTCGGGAGGTGCCGTTTGTGTTTGGGTTCTGGTGCAGACTCAGACTGCCAGCAGGTGTCAGAGGAGCAGAGCAGTTCCCCCAGTGCCTTGCAGAGCACTGGTTTTGCTGCCTGCTGTGGTC